ACACAGCTGAAAATGTATAGATAACAACAGATATTGACAAAATAAGTACAGCCTCCTAAATTCGTGGAGCTAGATACGACATACACAACATTTTGAATCTATCCTATTCCATTAGACAAATTTACTTGCAGGTTCTCTCTGAACCAGTTTTCTGATTGATGCCCCGTCTGGAAATTCTCAAAAAATAAATAATCTTTTTTATGTTTAAGACTAATAATTATTAACCGACAATATTTACAGGATATTTTTTTATCGGTTATTATTGTTTTCAAAGGGTTGATCATTTTGAGATGAGATTTTCTTATCCGAGTCACCAAAGCACACGAATATCAACGGAAAACAAAGTTCACCCCCGTTTTTGCGGCACCCTTTTCTTTCCAACTGCTTAAAGCCTTATTTGCGAATGCCCCGGCATGTAAAGAAAGCGACGGGAAGTATCCGGCCGGAATTTTCGATTAAACTTTTAGGAATTAAATGTTTTTCCTTATGCGCAAAAATAAAACAGCGGGACATAAAAAAAACAATAAAAGCACCCCCGTCGGAATTAAAAACGCCTTGATTTGCTTTTAAAAGTTAATTAAAATCATTGTTTTTGTACCGGGGAGTGCTATAGCCGCGAGGGTGGGAGTGCTGTTTTGCCTTCGGAGTTGTTTGCCGATTTTAAGTATTTGTTCGTAAATATTTGGGGAACCGGGGGGATAATAAAAAAAAAACACGAAACGTATACGTCCGTAGGGGGAAAGAAATTAAGTTACGATGTCACAGAGATATATGCGTTTCGACTCCGAATGCGATAGCGTTATATTTTAACGGTAAATTTTCAATGTATACTGCGTGCCCCGGGGGAGTGAGAATCGGACTAAAAGACAAATGGAGTCATAATATACACTCCATTATTTTTGTTGCCGTTGATCCCTTTGCACATTCTATACTCCAGATATTTTGGAAACACTTTTATTTATTTATTGATTTATTTATATTTATTTACAACTGACCCCAAACCAATAACAGTTTATTACTGGGAGCTTACAAAAACAATAATTTAAAAGTAATTACTAACATAAAAAGTTATTATTTGTCTTGAAAAATACTGCCACGCAAAGCAAGAAATCAAGTAAATCACTGTTACTAGGTCCAGCAACTTGAAATGCCAGTTTGACATTAATGTATACTGAAAAAGAGCTGAAAAAGCTTTTTTCTACTCCCGTCTGTAAAATACCTAATTACTCACCGATCTAGCGTGCGGGAATCGTCACTTTACCACGTCAGTTTCGTTTCCCATGAATCCGAGCCACTTCGAACATTTCCGGGATTTTACCGTACGGATTTGGAAGCAATCGGATGTTTTCGGATATATTTCGCACGCTTTGAATTTTGACGTTTGTCAATTTTGTCAATTCTGACATTCATGTCAGTGAATGTATTCGTGTTGTTTTGCGAAAATGTACCCAAAAACTAACGGTCGTAGTAAAAGTATAGTGTGCAACACGTTCGGTAAACATTTTAACTCACTCGTTTATTAAGCACTCGCTCCGCTCGTGTCAAATAAACTCGTGAGTTAACTGCCTTTTACCGCACTTGTTGCATAATATCCTATATTGTACTCCCTTCTGTAAAATACCATTTTATACACCGATCTAGCGTGCGGAAAGTGTCATTGAATTTTGACATTTGTCAATTCTGTTGTTTTGCAGAAATGTTCCCAAAAACTGACGACCACAAAAAGTCAATATGCTTGGTTTTAAATTGAATTGAAATTACTTTTAAATCTATATCTTTGAGGTCTTGTACTGGATGTATAGTAATAAGATTGTAATCATACGTGATTTCAATATTCCCTTTGGGACAGATCGCGCGAAAGAGCAAAAGCAGGTAGTATTCAATAATTTTTGTAGCTTGATTGAGACAGTTTAATTATATTCAGAATTATTACGCTAGAATTCTAGACTTAGTTCTTTGTAACATAAATGGTAAAATTTCTAGAGAAATAGAAAAATTGGTGCCGAAGGATAACCACCACCCTACACTTAACATCTCACTGACACGGACCACAATTAAAAAACAGATCCTATCTATTAGTAGATACCAACACAAATATAACTTGAAGACTTGCTTATATGATACGGATGATATAAATGTAGCATGTGGCAAATTTTATTGTATTGTGTACGCCATAATCGATTTGTATATACCTCGGGCTATAATTCGCAGCAGATCTTATCCTGTCTGAAATAATTATACTTGTGAAACAGAAGCATAAAGTTTTTAAGAAGTTGAAAAGATGTAACTTGAAATTTTATAGAAGTCTATAAGAATAATTTAGGTAAAGTCGAGAATTATATATCTAATGACCCAAATGAGTTTCGGATTTTTATAAATTTAAAAAAAATTGCCTATATCGATACCCGACACACTTGAATATGGTGACCGTCAGATTTCCGGTCTTGGCGAAATAGTTAATGCTTTTGCCGACTATTTTAGTGGTGTTTTGGCTGCACCATGTGAGGTAAGTCGCCATGTGCCTTCTGGACAAGATGGTGCATGAACAGCCTTTCCGGTGATTCAGTACTGCAAGCATTGAAAAGGTCAAAGAATAAAACTTCCTGTGATCCTGATAGAATACCTTGCTTTTTGGTTAGAAATTGCATTTCTTTTTTGATCTTTTTCTACTTGCACTTAAGACACGTTCTTTTCCTAATAGCCGGAAGGAGGCTAAAATAACCTCGGCCTTTAAAAATGGAAATATCAGTGAAATCTTTACAGGCCGATATCACCTTTTGCGAGGGCTTTCGAGAGGGCAGCGCACCATAGTCTTTTAAAAAAACGTAGTACCCTTAATAATTTAGCATGCTTCGCTCAATTTACCTCTCAAACATTAGATAATCGACTTGGAGTAGATTCACTGACTTCTCGAAAACTTTCGATAGGGTTGAACATGATATTATTCTTCAAACTTGTGGAGATGGGGTTCGATCCAAATCTAGTTTTGTTCTTTAAGTGGTACTTGACAGACAGAGTTCAGTCCGTCGAGGTGCGAGGACATAAGTCGTATGAGTTTATTGTCACAAGTGGGAGTAACCTTGCCCCCCTGATGATATAATTACTGATATATCGAGTAAATTATTATTATTTGCAGATGATATGAGAGTATTTAGAGTTACCCGTAATCAAGGTGACTGTCACCTTCTTCAGAAGGATCTTCAAATTTTGGACTCTTGGTGTCAACTCAACAGCTTGCCATTGAATATAGACAAATGTTTTTGGTTTTGGTTGATTGAAAAATTTGGGAGTTTTATTTGACGCTAAGCGTTTGTTTGCTAACCATATCAATCAAACTTGTCACAGTGCGTAGAAAATATTAGGACTCATATTTCGGAACTGACTAGGAGTTTATGAGCGAACCGGTACTAAAGGCACTCTACTTTAGTTATATTAGATCTAAGCCGAAGTATGGGGCCATTATATGGCAACCTATTCTTAAAAAGTATGTTATTCAATTACAAAAAGTTCAAAGGAAATTTTTAAAATATCTAGCTTTTATGTGCTGATGGTGCATTTCCACATATATATTTGGATCATGATGATCGAAATACCGGCTTTAACTAATCGTAGGAACTATGCATCAAGTCCATTTTTATTTAAATTATGTACATCGCTCACAGAATTTTTTGGGAGATCGATTTTCACCTACTTTCGCGGGCAGTCAGGACATCTGGAATATTTCACCTTCCAATTTCCTCCACAAACGTCTTGGACTCTTTAAACCAATGGACTTTTTTAATTATATTTGCAGTTATGTAGATATCAATGATCTAACACCGGCTCAGTTTACTTTGTCATTAGAAGACTTTTATGTGTCAGGTGATTATTGTAGATTCGGTTTTGAATTTTGTTTTGTTTTTTGTTTGTTTGGTACGTTTTCGGTATTCGGAATTTTCATTGGACCTTATAACTATACTTAGCAAATTAATTGTCTTGTCATTGGATATTATATCTGTTAGACAATAAAGCTTATCATCATCATCATCATCATCATTATTATTATTATTATTATTATTATTATTATTATTATTATTATTATTATTATTATTATTATTATCTAAGATTACTGTAACCATTTGTAGCATTTATGAGGAAATATATGTCCTCTTCCTTGTTAGTTACTGTGTATTATTTTTTCCATTCAAATTAGGTTAAATTTTTTTATTTATTTATTTTTTCAAGCCTGCAATGAATCTGTCTAAGCATGTCTTTTCCCACATTTCATTTTTTGCCTTTGTACATGCATGTAGTTCTTCATCTTTTGTTGATATTAGTCAGCCTCCTTTTTCCGTTTAATTATTCCTTCCATCTCTTTCGTGCACTATTCTTTGTTTATATTTTTAAGTCGTTGTCCCTGTACTCCTAGAACTATCTTGTTCTTTTCCTGTGAATGGTAATTTATTAATCAATCTTAGTTCATACAAGAAGCGAGTACGTTGTACAAACTGACTAATTGATATTTGTGTTTTTGAACCGTCTTAAAAATTTAGCTTTCTGTACTAGTGATCTGTATTTGATAAACAGTTTTGGTAACACTAAATGGTGGTCTGATGCGGATTCTGGTCCACGGTAAACTTTCAGTAGTACTTATTTTAGAAAACTGTGGCATTATAACATAACCTATTATTGAAGCAATTTGTCTGGTTGGTTGTGCCCCCGTTGGAATTTTTATGAGAAAATAAACCGTTCATTATTTTTAATGACATTCCACGATAGAAATCAATGACACTAAATTTAAAAAAATAAAATATCGCAATATATGGACGTAATCCTACTTATTATTATTTTTTCAAATAATTATTTTAGCATGGCTCACGCCGAAACGTTGTATCTGAGAAAGCACTATACAAGCCTGTTAAAAATCCAAGGTGCAGCGATCGAGATTTTCAATCTGCGCCGTCGGAATCGCAACTGCTCTAATTCAATAACGTTTACATTTTTCCGTTTTTGTGTTGCAGAGGAATGGACCGGGGGCAACGTGGAAGAGCCGGAGTTCGCAACCCCCATACATAATTTAACCATCCCCGTCGGCAGAGAGGCAGTCCTGTCGTGCACAGTCAATAATCTGGGGAAATATAAGGTAGCGCTTTTTTCTGTTCCTGCTTTATTTTGATTTCTTCTCTTGTCCCACTATAAACGATGTAGCAGCGGACCGGAGAAAATCCGCCATGCCATTTGGCCGATACCGCACGAGATTTTTTTCGTTTACCCTTGGGGCGAACGCCGATTGCTTTTTTATTTTTATTTTTTTTGGGAAGGGGCTGCCTAGGGTTAAATATTACCTTCAAACGGTTTGACGGGGCGATTTAAAATATGTGTGAGTACTGAAGATGTCAAGTGAAATCTTGGCGAAACGTCTGCAGGATTCCAGTCGGAGTTCAACGAACGAACGAATGATATCCCGGAATTTATTTTCATCACATTAAACATATTTGTATTACCCTTCCTATTTTAATCATAATCATACAGAAATATTTTTTTGAATTTACAATTCATCACCTAAAATTAGGCCACGTTATTAAATTTACCGAATAAATGACTTTACTCAACTAATCATAAAGATATTGGTACGTTATATTTTATTTTAGGGCTATGATCAGGATTAGTGGGAACTTCCCTTAGTTTTATTATCCGAATTGACTTAAGAAATCCTTAATCTTTAATCGGAGATGATCAAATTTTTAATGTAATAGTTACAGCTCATGCATTTATTATAATTTTTTTTATAGTTATACCTATTATAATTGGAGGATTTGGTAACTGGTTAGTTCCAATTATATTAGGAGTTCTTGATATAGCTTTCCTTCATATAAATAATATAAGTTTCTGTCTTCTTCCACCATATTTAACTTTTTTTTTAATTAGTAGAAATATTGAGAAAGGTGCTGGAACCGGATGAAATGTTTATCCCCCATTAACGTCTAATATTTCTCACAGAGGAATATCAGTTGACTTAACCATTTTTAGTCTTCATTTAGCTGGTATTGCCTCTATTATAGGAGCAACTAATTTTATTTCTACAATTATCAATATACGACCCTACAATATACCTATAGACCAACTATTATTACTTTTTTCTCTGCCTGTTCTTGCAGGAGCTATTACTATACTATTAACTAGCTGAACTATTAATACCTCATTCTTTGATCCAGCAGAAGGTGATGACCCAATTTTATACCAACATTTATTCTGTCTTTTTGCTCACCCTGAAGTTTATATTTTAATTCTTCCAGGATTTGGAATAATTTCTCATATTGTTTCCCAAGAAAGTAATATAAAGGAAACTTTTGGAACTTTAGGAATAATCTATGCATCTAGCCATTGGACTTTTAGGATAGTTATTACTTCTGCTACTATAATTATTGCTATTCCAACAGGAATTAAAATTTTCAAATGATTGCTCCACTATATGAACTAAACTAAATTTTGAACCAACTACACTTTGACCATTAGGTTTTATCTTTTTATTATTATTGGTGGATTAACCGGAGTAATCGTAGCTAATTCATCTATTGATATAATTCTTCAGGGCACTACATTCAGACCTTTCGATCCATTGTGCTCACTGTCTTCACTCCCTCCCCCATAAGAATCCTTTACTCTCGAGGAAGTAGAATACTTCAATCATGGGGAGCTTGGTTAGTTACTCGAATTCAATAAATTGAGCTCCCGGTACTCTCAGTCGGCTAGTTCTAGTGGTGAGCAGCTGATTAGGACATGAATTGGAGTTTCCACCTCTTCTAAACACAGCCTTCATGTGCTGTCGTCTCCCAACCCCATAAAGTTATTCGACTGCTATTCCCCGTTATAATTCTATTGAAAATGATTCACTACAAAATTCACAATATAATGTTGTGATTGGAATAAGAAATTCATTGGTGGAAATGCTTATGAAAAATTAGGAAATATAGAGTTCTTTTTCCCCTGTATCATTTCTGTTGCCAGATTTCAAGGACACGGGGGACACATTTTTCCCATTTTTTTGTTTTTTTTATATTTCAATTTAGTTTTAAAAATAGTGACCACGATAGATACTAATTCTTGGACCGACTGGTGAAAAGTAGGTAAACTTTTAACCTTGTTATTTGAAATACCATACCGGGAACACCTTTGTAGAACTGGCGCTTTTTTTTAGTATTTTGAGATTCAAATTGTGAAAATTCGTTAAAAAATAAGTTTCGAGAAAGGAAAGAAACCAAATTAGTAAATTGATTTTTTATAAAAATAAAATATTATATAGGAGGCTTTGTTTGCGTGCAGGGGCACGATCACAAATTCTGATAGATTTCACATTTTAACCTGGTTATTGGTTTTGTCGTATTATTGATTTGGATTATCATGGAAAACAATCAATTTAAAGAAACAGCCCGTTTTTTTCTTCAACTTCTAGCCTTGATCAATTTGCAGAAAACTTTCTATGTAACATAAGTTGTAGCTCTCTGGAGGTTATTTGAAATTTGGTTTGCTATTTGACAATGGGATACAATGGAACCACCTGTATTTTATCGCAGCAATGAAAATATCGATTCATTCTTGACCTCAAAGTATTACACCACACCCTACTAATTTTAAACCATTTTGGAATTAAAAGCAAAAACAACAGTAAGCTGTGGCGATATAGTCTCACAGTTCAATTAAATAATATTCTTCAAACAATTTATTCTGAAAAGAAGTTCTAAAGAAAGACAAAAATAGAAATATTCAACAGGATAAACTCACACTTTTGGGTGTTTTTTTTAGTTTTAAAATAACTATTTAATACTTGACTAATGCAAAAAACACAGTAAGTTTACTCCTCTAAAAGATACTGATAACTACAACACTAACTCCCGAATCGTAGACTCAAAATAAATAAAATACAGTAAACAACTTGATCAAGGGATTTCTGCTACGTAATACTTGTAAACGAAAGTATTATTAGTGGTGGGATAGTTCATTCTGCTTATTTTTGTTCTTTACATTCCATTCAACTATCCCTGGTTAAACTATTTCAGCTCGCCTTGTCCCACTAACACGCCATCTTTTCACCCTCGGCCCAAGTCAAAGAGTCCCTTCCGCTAAGCAGTCACACCACAAATACGGAACCCTTCGCCTTTTCTTTGCTATTTACAAACAGTTGGGCAAGACTACTATGGCCATTCGCCCATTACCGACGTCCGTCGAGCAATTTATTCTTTTGGTCGCAGAGCAACAGTTAACAAAAAAGCTATTACCAACATTTCTTCTCAGCTTCCAATATAGGACTCTGATGGATAACAAAACACCGCCTCCCCCGCTGCCTCGCGGACCATCCGGCGTCCATACCGGCGTGAACAGGAAAAAACAGAGGGGCCGACAACGATTACACCTTTAAAACACTCACTAGATAGTAAAAATACTAAATCCACCCATTCCATAATTTTCGGAGACGATTACAAGGGATTGTGTCGGGAGCAAACGGAGACTAAACCTCCATGTGCAATGCTCACGACAGAATCCCACTACTGAACCCAATCGAACTGTCAAACGGTGCACCATACGCACCGCCCAAAATAGGAACGCTACAAGTTCTCAAATCCCTCATCCGGCCTACTTTAAGACTATTCCGTATTCTTCGGATACTAGTAGAAGGTTGAGCAACATTCGTGCTAAGTATAACCTCTTATTGAGCAAGTTCCTGTAGTTCAGAAGTAGCTGTTTCTCTCTAACATTGCTAAAATCTGTTCTACAAGACACTCTACGGGGGGAATTCATCGACGTTATTCATCAACTGCCACTCGTCCGTTTTCATTGCAAAATACATAAACATAGTGAATGTCGGCATATTCTTCATCCGAAAAAGTAAAAATTGTACCTTGAAAAGTATTTTAATATAATTGACCAAAATGAACACGCACTAGACTTTTTTAATAATAATATTAACAGATGAACGTAATACTCGAGCAACTAATTCAATAAAGCGGTTAGCTCAATTAGGTAGTCAGGTCATGGGACACCCTGTAGATCTCCATGCCTTCTTGGTTCTCTTATAACACTTTGTGCATAATTTACATTTATACATTTTGAAAAACGTGAATAATTTTGTAAACATGCGAAATTTTATATTTTTATATAAAGCAGTTGAAAGGCGAATAATCATTTTCATGACAGATTTTCTAAAATAGTATATTATGCAACAAGTGCGGTAAACGTTGCGTAAAAAGTTTACCGAACGTGTTGCATAGTATAATGTTTCTACGACCGTTAGTTTTTGGGTACATTTTCGCAAAACAACACGAATTCACTGACATGACCGTTAGAATTGACAAACGTCAAAATTCAAAGCGTGGGAAATATCTCCGAAAACATCCGAGTGCCGCCAAACCCGTGCTGTAAAATCCCGGAAATGTCCGAAGTGGCTCGGATCCGAGGGAAACGAAACTGACGTGGTAAAGTGACGCTTTTCGCATGCTAGACCCGTAGGTAATTGTTAATATCGTCCAAGAGAACTATAATTTGTGTCTGGTTAGCGTAAATGTGGCAAGGCCTTCCAATATTTTAAAAATAGAGATCGAGTTGCACTTTTCCATTTCTCCTAAAATGTTATCTAATGGATAATGTACTATAGTTAAATATTAATGTTTTCAACTATAATCATTGTTATTATTAGAAACACTGTTCCAAAACAACAAAACCAGTCAAACATAAATACTATGAGTTGGTTGAGCTGTTGATTTACATTTGGGGACGTCAAAATAAATTGACGCGACTGATTGCCAGTGTAAAGTCGGAAGAAAGAACTCACTGGGAAACGTTGAATTATTATTTTAACAATTTGAAACTTTTTTAGGAAACACACCATGAAAATAAAAAGGACGACATTTCGGAAAAACCGAAAATACGTTTCCGTTCCACGATAGGATACGTGGGAAGGAGACGCCAAGTTTTTTACGCGTGTTTAAGGGATTTTATCGACCCCGTGGGGGATGCCGGAGAGACACTTACGACGGCGAAACATTTTTGAATCCCTCGCAATAAGTCGCGACCTGTTTCCGGTATTTTTCCGTCGTAAAAATAAAATCCACCGGCATCGTTTTTATTGAAACTGTAAAGGCTTTACGA